GTCAGTGCTTTTTGGTCATTTTCACTGTAACTTTCCAGGCGTGGGTCTGCATTGGAAATAAGGATTCTGTGTGTACCTGTCACCAGGGGGGTTAAGAAAGTGTGTGTGTGTGTGTGTGTGTGTAGAACTTCTCTGTCGGATGATCATTAATCTGTATTTCTGGCTCATCTGCATCTTTTACCTTTTGTCTTTTCATCTCCATTTACTCCTGTCCTGTCTCTTTATTACCTCTTCTCATCAGACTTGCTCTCTCTCTCTCCCTCTCTCTTCTCTCTCTCTCTTCTCTCCCTCTCTCTTCTCTCCCTCTCCCTGTCCTTTCTCTCTCTTCTCTCCCTCTCTCTCTTCTCTCTTCTCTCTGTCCTTTCTCTGTCTCTCTCTCCTCTCCCTCTCTCTTCTCTTCCTCTCTCTCCCTCTCTCTTCTCTCTGTCCTTTCTCTCCCTCTCTCTTCTCTCCCTCTCTCTCTTCTCTCCCTCTCTCTCTTCTCTCTTCTCTCTGTCCTTTCTCTGTCTCTCTCTCCTCTCCCTCTCTCTTCTCTTCCTCTCTCTCCCTCTCTCTTCTCTCTGTCCTTTCTCTCCCTCTCTCTTCTCTCCCTCTCCCTGTCCTTTCTCTCTCTTCTCTCCCTCTCTCTCTTCTCTCTTCTCTCTGTCCTTTCTCTGTCTCTCTCTCCTCTCCCTCTCTCTTCTCTTCCCTTCTCTCCCTCTCTCTTCTCTCTGTCCTTTCTCTCCCTCTCTCTTCTCTCCCTCTCTCTGTCCTCTCTCTGTCTGTGTGGATCTTAAACCTCGAGGCCTCCTGCTGTGAAAGCATGAACACAGCGATGTTTAAAATTCAGCCAGCTCCCTCATCGCTGTCACTCTTTACTCTTTCTACATGAAATCTGGCCACATTCATCCGACCAGGTGAAAAACACAATCTCTCAAATACCTGACTGCACAGAATTCCACTCTTTTAATCATTTGAAAAATAGCGCTATTGGCACGGACGGTGAAAACACACGCGTGTGTGTGAGAGGATGTTGAACTGAATTTTGTTCATGACTGAAGTCCAGAAATGTCACATCCTCAGATGTAAAACAGGAGTCTTGATTGTTACAGCCATAAACCAGGGGGCGTCATCAGCCATACAGTTCTCCTTGAAGGGTCGGGTGTAAATTGAAGATCGTATAGGTCATGTGTCAAACTCGAGGCTCGGGGGCCAAAAGCGGCACGCCAAGCCATTTTGTGTGGCCCTAAGGAGCTTAAAAAGAATTTAAAAAAAGTCCATGCAGCAGAGTTTCTTAACCTGAGAAATTAAAAAAAAAACAATTATTACACAGCAATGAACAATATTTGTAGCTGGAATGAATAATAATGAATTGCAGAAACATGTATTAGTTTGTTATGGACATTAGTATTAGTAATAGTTACATCTATACCAGCGTAAAAAACTAATGTAAAAAAAAATCATTTTTAATTATATATGTATTCATATATATATTCTGTATATGTATTAATATACAGAATACATATATTAATGTTATATATATATATTATAATATATTATATATATATATTAATATTATTCTGTATATGTATTAAGTCATAGTAATAAAAAACAAAAAAGGTCCCCAACCTTTGACCTATGGACTGGTACTGGTCCGTGGACCGGGGGTTGGGAACCCCAGTCTTCTATTTACAACCAGCCTTTCAAGGGGAACTGTGTTGGTGAAACTGAGTTTGACCCCCGGTACAGATAGATTTCATTATTGTGTAATAATATTTTTTTTTTAAACTTTTATTCTCAAGTTAAGAAACTCACCAGCATGGACTTAATTATAAGGCGATTAAATGCTTTCCAATGACTTGGCGAGCCACACTTGGCCCGCAGGCCTCGGCTTCGACACACGCTTTTAAAATATTTACTTGGGTCCCAAATTAATATTGTTCAGAAAAGCAAAACAAACTGCGACGGTAGCTGTGATCCAAACCTATTATCCTGTGATTTGAACACTGGGGGGGGGGGGCAGAAGGAGAGGATGAAGAAGAGGATGAAGGAGGTGCACACACACAGGATGAATAAATAAACAAGCGTCGTTACGCTTTTATGATGGATGCTGTGCAGCTGCAGCACAGGACGAACGAGCCTGCTGTCTAATGTGAGTGTGAGGTAAAGGAGGGAAAACAGCTGCTGCAGAAACACTGACACACACACACACACACACACACACACACACACACACACTGCTGCAGGCTGGAGGCTGTGGACCAGAGTGATGGAAGCAATAGTTAAGCCATTAAGGCAAACAATTGTCCGAAATTGAGAGGGAGAGCCCTAAGAAGAAAAGTGTGAAGAAGAAGAAGAAGAAGATGATGATGATGATGATGATGATGGAGAGGCAGAGGCAGGAAGTGGAGCCACTTCAGAACTTAATCTCAGCCCCAGGACACACTCAGAGTCCCACTGTGCTCAACACACAAGTGCTCCGTCTGGTCACCTCGTCGTTTCTGACCACAGGCAGCAGCCAAGGAGAAGAAGACGCAGGTGATGCTTTCTTTAAGCAGTCGTGAGACAACAACGGAATTAAACGTAAATAACCAACGTAACAACAAGAAAGAGACATTGAAACCAGGGGTCTCCAACCCCTGGTTCGGGGACCGGTGAGGGTCCGTAGGTCATTTGGTACCGGGCCGCAGTAGAAAAATGTACTTTTAAAATAATCCTGTCATATCCCTTTACTGGTACGTAAAAGGTCGGGGACGGCTGCGTCAAAGGACTACGAAGACAGAGACGCGAGTGAGACAACGTGTAAAACAACTGCAAAGAATCAAACGACAACGAACAGAGACGAGAACGGACGACCAAGAAATGCGAGACGACTTGAAGGCGACAAACAAAATAAATAAATAAATGCATAAAAATATACAGACGCAGGGAGATGAATCACAATTCAAATTCACACAGAGGGACAAGAGACAGGAAACGGCATCAAAGGGACAGCTTTAAAAAAACAGATGCACCTAAAAAACCGTCTGGAGGACGAGGCCTTGGACGTCGAGGACACGATGGTCGTGTGACTTGTAGTGACGAAGCAGTTTCTCGCGATTCTACACAACCGACGTGTTGTCAGTGCTGAAGGAGGACAGTGTCCTGACTGACCGGGCTGACTCCACTGATTGTGTCGTAAACAGCAAACAACAAGGGATTGTCCATTGTCCGCTGACTGCTGACTAATCCCAGAGATCGCTGACCGCTGCTGTGTGTGTGAGGATGACGCTGACTAATCCCAGAGATCGCTGACCGAGGTTGACGCTGACTAATCCCAGAGATTGCTGACTGTTTTCAGATCCACTTCCCTCCTTCTTACTGAGGTCTTTCCTCAGGGATCCCTGGTTGCCCCCTCCCTTCCTCACTCCTGACGCCTCCGCTGATCTAAGGTTGTGGTTGTCGGGCTAACGGATCGTCCGCTCCTGCCTGGATCGTTGACCCCTTCTCTGACGTCGCCTTTCTAATTTGACATGTCGTTTAAGTCCTTCAAAGATTTGGGCGTTTCTGCCGAGCGCCTCGGCTCTTTCTGTAAAAGATGGATGTCCCGCGTCCAAAGGTCTGGGTGTTTTCTCTTTCTCTCGTTTGTTCTGGAATTGGCGTTAGTTGTTATTAGTATGGACCAATCACAGCGCTCACGGCTCTGGTTAAGGCCTTGTGTCTTCTTAGCGTTCTCCGTTTCAGCCATTATTTAAATTCACCCCGGGCTTTACTAGGACTGATGTGTGTGTGTGTGTGAACTGTGCGTGTAAATAACCTTATCAGTTCACTTATAAAGATAAACACGACATCCTCGAGTTGGTGCCAGAAATAGATATACACGAAACAACCGCAAAGAGAGAGAGGAAAGGAGTCGGGAAAAAAAGACACGAAACGGTCGCCAACAGACACGGCTGCCTCAGAGATGCAACGCCGTCTCATTGAGAGGCAAAACAACCTCAAAGAGAGACAAAACAACCATTGAGATGCTGGGGAAGCTGCGAAGATGCCACACAACCGCGAGGAGATGAAAATATGCACAGACGGGGGGAAAAAACACAGACGCTAAAACCTGTACTGAGAGTCGGAGAATTAAAAGCTATTAAAAGTAACAGAACCGGCGCAGGATAAATAGGACGCCTAAAACAATTACAAAGGAGTGTGTGTGTGTGTGTGTGAGTGTGTGTGTGTGTGTCGGGGGGGGGTGCGTGTCATGAGTCGATGTTTTAGCCCAAACTAAGTCATTCTTC